ATAAAAGAAAACTTTGAATAGTCAGGCCAGTTCAAATGCCTAAAATTAAGTGTCAGTGATTCTAATACACGGCATGTGCCTAGCTTCTTGAAGATCGGTCGATCATCAAACGCTTTCGTTGTCATCATGGTTAATTAACTTTCACGGGATTGTGACCTCTAAAAACTTAATTTACCAGTTGAAACTTGCTTCGTTACCTAACGTAATTCAATATTACTGGAAAATACAAAATTAACCGTCAAAGGGTCAATAGCAATTCATGTGAAAGGGTTGGCACGCTCCAAAAGATAATTATTACACTCTCATTGGTAATACCATCTCGTACAAGCCGAACGACTGATTGAAGTTGGGGAAATTCCATATATTTGGGATTCAGGTCTACCTACAACTATTCGGTATTTCTGGGAAGTTTGGCAAGATCGCTTGTCTGGAACAAAAGTCACATATCACTGTCACATAAAAGTAATAAATCACGTAGATTTGAATAATCTACTGTCGCGAACCCTGAGACTCGACCGCGAGGGAAAAGTGTGACAAATTGCAATTATACTGGTCGCTTAGAGGATTAGCTTAAATTAATGCTTACCGATCGAATCGTAATCCAATTTTCTTAAGTCAGATAAATGTTTTCGAATTATGTTATCATACTCGTATGTAGTTAAATCGAAATGGATAAAAATGCTTAGTCGCAAATTGTAAATAATGGCCGTAGCACATAGGTTAATATTTGTACCTTTACCTAAAACATAAACCATTATCTAGTTCATAAGTGTTGTTTTGTCACATTACCTATAAAACAGGCAATGATAAAGACGTAGAAAGTAAACGCAGAATAAGATGAGTATCGCTAACCGAGTAGTGAATCTTGCGGAAAAGTCATCAATTGGCGACGCGTGAAAACGTCAATTTGGCAGACGCCGCGGAGTCTGTGGCGCGGCGCGCAGGAGCACTTTCTCTGGCTGCGCCGGCGCAGACCGCGCCGCGGCGGCCACAGTCAATCAAGCTCGCACCCGTGCCACCCGCCCGCCCGTGCCCACTTCCGGTGCTTTTTAAATAACACCATTTCGGTTTCCTATATTATGATATTCAAGTTCAATGTCTCTGTGTTTGCTTATATAAAAAAAAAAGTTATTTTCCGTGATTTTTTTATCAGTGAGCTTGGAAACTTTTTAAGTGATTGCTATTTTCGTAGCCTAATCAGTATCAGCAAATTAAAATCCTGATTCTTTCTAAAAACAAAATTCATTCAAGACCAAAACAGTCAGTGACATTCTGGTATTAGGACGTTGCCCTTTTCACAAATTTACTCAGTGCTTCCTGGAATATCGTGAGGGACAGCTTAAGCGAGTGCATTTATTATGCCTGCCGTTTGCCAACCTGTGACAATGACCAAGACGTATCGTGACCACATCTGACGCGCGTGGACATCAGCCAAAACATGACGCTTTGGTACACAGATTTATTGGTGAGATTGTCTTAGTGATTATAAACTGCCTTGTTTCAGTATTATTACAAGCGACATTGTGTATCGAATAGGATTTTAAAATCACATGTCGATAAACTTTTAAACATTCTTAAATTACTAATAAATGAGGCGAACTTACAGGAGATGAGGGGATGTGTTTCTCTAAATAACATGATAATTAGTCCTGAACCTTGTGTTCTCTAAGCTTCTCAGAGCTCCAAGGGTAGGCAACTGAGGATGGGGTAGCAAAATGAGAATAGCTAATGCGAAATCTAACCATAATTTTGCGTTTGGACTCCACAACCTCCTCCGGTAGAGGTTATTGCTAAATCATCTATAAACAAAGTATCAGATATGCCATTAAAGTAGTTTCGATTAACATGGACAAATAGGCAAACAATTTGCTGCCATACACCAACTGTCATTTAATAATTTGATACTGGCCTTTCTCAATCGCCCAAGTGAAGCCACGACCCACAGCTCACAAATTAATTGATGAAGAATGACGTGATAGCATCCATCATTTAAGTGTTATCGAGAGCGATTCGCGAGGTATCGTCGACAACGCGTCGGCAAGCCGGGGCGTGAGGGCGGCACGACACGACACTTCTCCTCAATTACCCACATTGGAAGTATAAGCAATTGACCTACAAGTAATATGTTATTACTATCGGTCGGCAAAGGCGCCGCTGTGCCTAGTTATCGGGTCAATTGCATAGATAGTTTCGAACTTTCGTAGTAGTTAAACTTTCTAAATATAAATCGGCACCACTTTCCGTAGTAAAAAGCACGGATGGAACGCAAACATCTAACATCCTCGTTACGGGCATCTGCTAATTGTTCTTTAGCATCTTTCCTGTGATGCGCGCACGCAAGATGGACATTGCGTCACTGTGCCACTTCTACGAGACCGTTGACCCGCTAATTGCATTTAATATGAATAGGTTGCGATCGTGAAACGTCGTTGTCGCCAGCCAACAAACGTGTTTCTTTTATCGTGTTGCAAATACGGAAAGTGAGTATGTGGGTCGTTCTGCGCAATAAATCATCGATCAATATCTCCAGACGGCGATTAGAGACTATTGAAAGCACGACGATATTATTGTTTTGTTTTTTTACGTAAACTAAAAAGTTAGAGATGATTCGGACTCACGATAGATAGAGTAATCGCCGTCGATAGCGACCGACTCATTCTATTGTTGTTTTTTTTGTCACGATCCCATCGTTCCGGTCAGGATTAGAAAACAGATTTCCTTTATTTTTGTTTAAAGACTACGCGTTTTTGTATTGTAATGCGATGTTTCTGTTTGCGTACGAATGGCTATTGCAACTGTATTCGAAGTACGGCTCGGGAACACTACTTGCTGACGTTCTATAGGCGCGTATTGTGAGACCGGGAAGATCCTATGAATCGACTTCTCGCAGGCGTAGATCCGGCGGCTGGTAAACATATGTTAGCTCTTCGCAGCCTACACAAGGCATCCATTAATAAACGCGTAGGCCGTATGCTATTTAGCCTACGACCAGCTGTCTGCTAATCTCACTTTTCAATTGATGATTTGCAACGCGAAAACGTATAAGTTATTAACTCAACTATTATTGATACATTATTTATGTTGAAATTACAGTGAAGTTCCGTATTGTAAATGTAAGCCTTTGTTGCTATATTGAATTGAGAACGTGTAGCACTGCAGAGGTGCGCAACCGGAAGTGTCTGCTATAAATTATCAGCCATTGAATACATCAAACGTTATTTAAGTTTGCAAATGATGTTCTCGGGTAGGTTCATGAATCCAATAGAGCTAGTAATCAGGTGTAGTGACCGTAAACACCTCAGAGGCTTCACTTTTTTCGGCCAACATAGAGCACGGTAACCTAGTTTAATTGTCCGCTACTGCACCGGCACCGCATGTTTTACCAGGGCTTACGTCTACAATCAGCTTTATTTTGTAAACAAACTTTGTGCGATAATTTTATGTAACTACTATAGTAGTTTGTATTTTATAAAATATTGATTAAAAGTTACTTGAAAATTGTTTTTGCAACGCCGAATTTCATGTTCACATAAAACATTTTGTGTAAACAAAATGTTACTTTTTACACAATGCTCGCGTAGTAAGTTATAAATATGTAATTCCGTTAATAAGGAAGGGACATAAAAAATAAGACACTAATTCAATACAAAGTAAGAGAGAAAAAACGAAATATTATTGAAATAGGTAAATGGCCTTTAGACAACCCTGTCAGACTCTTTGATTAATGCCGTCTTTAGAAAGATAATGGAGCTAAAAACACGAGCTGTATTTTAAGCACTTGTCTGATTCACGTCTGTTCTTTTTGAAAGGTAATACCTATAATTAGGGGGTGAAAGCTGAATGGTGTATTTTTTGTCTCTATATAGTTCCGTGAGCTCCGCCGTGTTGTATCGAAACTGTTTGTACTGTGACCACGCCCTAAGCATGTCGCATTCATCGTTAAATTGAAGACAACATTGAACAGTTGCGTACAATAATGTTAAAAAATTGTTTTTTTTTTATAATCGTCTCTAATTATTACCTAGGAATGAATATTTTTTCTATGATTTATGATGAAAACACTGTCGAATATTTAAAGATAAATTCATACTAAACAGCATTAAAAATGAATTATCTACTGAATGAATGATTTTTACATAATTTTGTTAAAAGACGATAGAGATACGAAATACATAGAAGTTAGTCAAAAAAGCATCAGCGATCCCCGTTTCAGAGTTTCTCTATTATCAATATCATTTATGAAAATCCCACGCTCGATTCTAGCATTTAATTTATATATTTCAAAAACTAGCACGTGGTAACTTCATATTAATCTTACACAAACTCTCATTGAAACCCAAAATAAAAACGTCTCGAGTCGAGACATGTTGTGTGTGGGAATTTAATTAAAATTTGTAATATTCGGAATTATTAGAACTTTCGAAACTACATTTAGAAAATTTCTAAATTAAACGTGAACATTGTAAAACAAGATACTTATTTCAGGTTGCGAAAGAAAATATAGATTGTTTGTTTTGCGCACGCAGATTTAAAATCGTTATCTAAATCTTTCACAATCTATATAAGACAAATTGCACTAATCGCTACACTAGTTCAATGAGCAGTATCTTAAGATATTGAATGTAGAACAAACCCTTTTTTGTATTTTATTTATTTTAAAACTTTATTGACCAAAATAATTAAAAGCTCCTCTCATAGTCTTTTAAAAAAAACCCCAAAACTCATCCAATAAAGCCCTTTTTGATACGCGTATGAAGCGCGATTTGTTAAATGCTTTCATTATTCCTGACGGTTCAGATCCTTTAAGATTGTATGGCACGCTTGCTTACAGTACGCAAGAGTCTGCGTGAAAATACAAGTTGCAGTGAACAAAAAGGAAATTATTATTTACTAGTGGCCCGCCCTCGCTTCGCTTCGGGGTAGAATTGATCAAAATCCTTTCTTAGCGGATGCCTACGTCATAACATCTACCTGCATTTTAACAAATAAGCCGAAACCTCATGTTGTCTATTTGTCTACAGAGTCCCGGCGCAGTGAGCGGGCCCGGCGGGGACGCACAGAGCGGCTCCAGGGACGCGCTCGACGTACGTTACTCGCTAGCTGCGCTTGCCGATGACTACACCAAGCGCAAGCACGTGGTGCGGGTAACCACCGCCGCTGGAGCCGAGCTTTTGCTACAGGTGTGTGTCGTCACCTACACTTTTTATCTTTAACTTTACTCCTTAAGCCGCGCTGACATAGAGCGAATGGATAGAGCATTTCATAACCAGCTGTAAAGTAAATACGAACGCGAACTCCTGTCTGCCCCACTATATTAACTTTCTTCGCATTTGGACTCTGACGCTTAACACCTAGAGAAATCACTTCTTAAGTCTTCTATAAAAAATACACAACTATTCTAAAGAATTGTGTCTTAATTATTACCTTCTCGACAAGCGCGCAATCATTTTTTATTTCCTGATAGATTCAAATTCTACAGCTCCATTCTTAAAAGGATTTAAAACCCCCCAAAAGTCAACCAGTAGTTCGTTTCACCAGGCGGAAGGCGCGGCGGACGCGCAGCGATGGCTGGCGGCTCTAAGGCGGCACTCAGCGGAGCCTCCCCCCGCGGACAGCGTGCCCCCCACACCAGTACCTCTCTCAGTGCCCACTACACAGCAAGCGGAGTGTCCGTCCCCACTACCGCCGCAACGCAGTAAGAAGATCGGCAGGAATAGATCACCCACAGGTATGTTTTGAGTTGAACTTTGTGAGCGCAAACTTTATTATTTATCTTTACTTATTACTTTAGTGCTAGAATGACCTATCTTTCATTTGATTTGTACTTTATGTTCGTCTCGGATACCAGATTTTATTGTTAATAAGTACCTGATCTTATGTATGATTTCCTACATAGTGTTTTAATAACACTACTATTTTAACCGATTAATACAAAATATTACCTGTACTTATTAAACAAACGTACGTTACTTTAATAGTTTTAGCGTGCATCGAAAATAAAATATAAAATCACTCACTATGCTTTTGTTCCTCGAGCGGTCTGCATTTATTTATTCGCGTTTCTTTATTTGTCTTCAGTGCCGACGATAGCAGGTCCGCCTACGCCGACTCTCCCTTCGTCGCCGAAAAACAAGACGTGGAAGGGTCGTATGGCGAAGCAACTGCGTCGGATGCACGGCGGCGCCAGTAATGCGACCCCTGCCTCTACTGGATGGTTGGGGGCGCCGCTGGAACGATGCCCTTCCGACCCCGAGAATCCGCTCGTTCCGAAGGCAGTCACTCTACCAGCGCAAGCTGTGGAGGTAACCACAACCCACTTTACACTAAGAATATAGCTCCAATATATGAAGCATCTGCGCCGGATGCACGGCGGCACGGAACACAGCTTCTGCCGCTATATGATGAATATGGCGAAAATTGGAACTAGCGCCGCCGTGTTTGTAAACCTCATATTTTGTTTGTCATATACGGTCATTAACTAAACAGTTGCTCCCTTCCTGAAATGTCACTCACATTCATAAAGATCTTAGTCGCACTGTACTGGGTGGTTGGGGGTGCTGCTGTAAAGGTGCTGCTGGGGCAGTTCGAGTGCAGTCACTCGTCCCACGCAAGCTGTGAAGGTTACTATCTTAACTTAGGTTGTAGCTCCAATATATTACGCCATCTAACCTTACGATCGGTGTACAAAAAAAAGGATCCACACCGGATGATCCAGACATCTGGCAACCCTATTTTGATGAGACCCAACACAAACTGTTGCAACTTTATAATTTCGTAGTTCTTAATGAATTTATTATATTTTTTCCAATTTATTGTCCCCAAATAATTTGACAATCTTCGCTCTTTCATGTTATCGAACAGGCGACATAATATAATAGACCTAATATCTATCTTCTTCCACCAGTCGTACGGCCTCCGCACTGTGGGCGTGTACCGCGTGCCCGGCAACGCGGCGGGCGTGGCGGCCCTCGCTGCGGCCCTGGACCGCGGCGAGCCCCCGCCCGCCGGCGACGCGCGCTGGGCCGATGTGCACGTGGCCTCGTCGCTACTGAAGGCCTATCTGCGCCGCCTGCCCGACCCGCTGCTCACCGCCGACCTCTACCCCGCCTTCATAGGTCAGTATATACTAACAACAAAGTGACGCGCGCTGGGCCGATGTGCACGTGGCCTCGTCGCTACTGAAGGCCTCTCTGCGTCGCCTTCCCGACCCGCTGCTCACCGCCGACCTCTACCCCGCCTTCATAGGTCAGTATATACTAACAACAAAGTGACGCGCGCTGGGCCGATGTGCACGTGGCCTCGTCGCTACTGAAGGCCTACCTGCCGCCTGCCCGACCCAATGTTGTCTCTGTATCCTTTTTAACAAACAAGCGTCAGTTTTAGTTCATGTTTAATTTTACTTTTTTTATTCTAAAGGCGGCTAATGGTATCCGGCTCGAAGGATCACAACCATAACGATTTCATTTTGTCTATCCAACAGCGGCAGACCGGTCTACAGAGAGGGCGCGCGAACTGAGAAGACTAGTCCACGCTCTCCCAGAAGCACACTACGAAACTCTAAAGTACCTAGTGCAGCATTTAAGACGCGTGGTGGCACACTCGTCGCACAACAAGATGGAGGCACGCAACCTCGCCATAGTGTTCGGGCCGACGCTGGTCCGCGCCGCCAGCGACGACATGCTGGCGATGGTCAACGACATGTCCAGCCAGTGCCGCATCATCGAGTCCTTCTTGACGCACGTGAGTGGCGAATGATGCTATGCTTAACCTTTCTTAAGTTAAAAGTTAAAAAGTTTCGTACGCTTGACTTGGGGGGTAAGCTGGCGAATGCGTTACGAAAAGTGTGTTCGAGCGAGGCGAACGGGAGTTGAGTGGGAGACATAAGCAAGAGAAAGCAATGCGCGCGCACATTTTATTTCACTCTTTCTCTTATAGCTAGTAAATGAAATATGTATATGTACATACATGTATATACAGATATATATGTCTGTACAATATATATATATATATACATACAGATGGAGCTAAAGAAGTTTCACTTCAGTCGTGTGGTCATAAGCACACTCGTTTTTTGTGTAAAAGGGTGATAAACAAGCATTTGGCCCGCCTGATGGAAAGCGACCACCAGAGCCTGTAGACGCTTACGATACAAAAAATATCACTCGTGCCGTTACCTACCCTGACTCAATTCACTACCCATTGAAGCTCCGGGAACCTTACTCACCGACAGAAACGCAACACCACTACGCTAAAATAGTTTTATTTTACTGTGGTCTTCTGTAAGGTAGAGGTTACTTCCCCAGACAGGGCAGATCTCTCTCAATCTTTAGTTTTGTCCCAATATGTGACGTGTTTCGGACACTGTCAACTTTTGTTTTATCGCATAAAGTATAAGATGGTAACGGTTGCAATCGTTACAGTACGAATGGTACTTCGAGGAGGAGGAGGGCGAGCCCCCAATGGAGCCCCCGCCCGCGGCCGAGGAGCTGTCCCCCGCGCCGGCGCCTTCGAGAGATCTGCTCATACACAACGTTAAAAAGATTGAAGGTAAAACAACTTTATACACAGTTTTCAATGATATATGCTTCACCCGCGACTTTGTTTGCGTTAACTTTAGTTTTTTGAGAATCCCACAGGAACCTGTAATTTTTCCGGGATTGAAAGTATCCTATGTCTCAATCCAGGTCATATACTGTATGCGTACCACATTTCATCCAAAACCGTTTGTAATATTGGGAGAATAGCTAGATGGATATTAAGATAGAGATTTGTTTATTTACTCGAAACAGTAAATTTTTGGTCACAATGGTATTGAATATCGAGCTCTTCAGATCAGGGGGTTTAGACAAGTGGTATTCTTTCAATTCGTTTGAAGGATAACATTATTAATTTTGAATTTGAAAAATAAGCAACAAATTAATTACATAGTTTAGCGTATTTTTTTTGCATATATATAATACATCGGATTATGTGCAGGATTAACGAACGAATTTTTAATCGCATTCTCAATCGCCATATTGAAAGCTAATATCTGACAGTGTTTTTTTCACCCGTGACGTAACAGGCAAGGACGTGTCAACACGCGACATAGTATCATCTATAATCTCGGCGGCGAACCGCAAGATTCAGCGCAAACCGCGCAAGGACAAGAAGTGGGAGGAAAAGTCCTCCCCTCCCCGCTCGCCTCCCGCGATCCCCCCGCACTACGACGCCGCCAGGGAAGAACGCGCGCTGCACAAGTATGTACTCTTACCTCATACACATATAATGCGATTCAACTAAGAATAGGATCGACTGGGCTGCATATTGTGACGTCACAGCTGTCAATTCAAACCAAATAGGTAGAGTGAGCACAACAAAGGTTTTATTTAATAAAATTTATTTACTAAGATTGAGAAAAAAAAAAACAATCAGAATCTAGCTCATCAATTCCGCTCATCTCTGCATTACCGCCGGAGTAGTTATGAATAATCATGCCTAGGTCACATACAAACATGCATCCTTTATGTAAACGAAAGTTTTAAATCGAGTTTATGAACGCAACTTAAAGTGATCTTTGGTTGACGATTTAGGTTATCAACCAGTCATAGCCAAAGCTCAATAAATGTAAAAAAAATATCAAACAATATTAATTATCAATATTTGTTATTGTTTGTTTACAATTGTTTGGTTTTTATTCTAGAATTAGCTGAGTGCTAAAAATGGGTTTCCAAGATTTTTTTGCAAACCATACTTTTCAAGCGACATTTGACAGATGGAGGTCATTGTCTTTCCTATTCTTATTTGAATCGCAATATACTGTCTATAATCTCGTTAGACCGGCGCAGGACGCACAAGGACTATGTTAGAATGAAGTTTTCTGAAATGAAGGACGCCAGGTGTCAGCACTGAGACGAAAGGTCTAGTCATCCGTAAAATCACGTCGTGTCGTCATAGTCTATGGTTGATCCATATATTTAAACTCGTTCGATTAATTCGCGTCAAAAACTTCATACAAAAGATCTCATGTCACAGTGGCGCCAACTGATGATGTAAATTGTCCTAAACACCATCATTATTCTCGAAATAATTAAGACGTAACAAATTCTGTTCTGTATAAGAATTGTTCTTAAAATAATATTCGTTTTTGTCTATTACAGAATCGACATAGAAAGTATGACAGCGCTGAATCGCGGACGACACGAAACCTTCACTATCGATGGTAAATATTTTTACTTTTATTATTTAAAAAAACTACTATTTTCTTTAACAAAGTAACGATTTTTATTTTTATTGAATAACGAAATAACAAATTAGCCATGACATAATCATGAGTCCCTCCAGTGTGTTTACTTAAGAATATGAAAGTGTATGTTATAAAACGGTGTCTACTTATTTGCTCCACTAGGTGTCCAGTTCTGACGTCAGAGAGTAGACACAGCAATCCCTTTCTTTTGTCCACATTCAAAGGTATAGGAATGCGAGCGTGTTGCAAGTGTGTGCGTGTACGCGCCGATCTATGGCGGAAAGGCTTCGTTTGTTTACGTGTGCTTACTAATTACAAAAAAAAACTTTGAAAAATCACCCTAAAATGAACATCAAACTCGTGTAGTGATAGTAGAGAGTAATCCATATTTAACTAACAGTTATCAATTAAAAGATGAACAGATTGGTGTTATTTACATTATGTGTCGCACGAACGATGGACGTAAACAACGGAGCCGATTCGCTCTGCAGACTAACGCTTAGAAACGGAGGTCGCTGACAGCACGGCTTCTGCGCTCGCGTATCGTCTGACGCGCCTAGACTTAGGTCGAGATCACATCACCGCATTCATGTACATACGTACCTCACCTCTCATCGATTTCTATCATCTAACGACGCAGACTCTAACCGGCTTCCGTTACGTATTCGTAATCTACGCAGTTCATTCGACGTCGCAACTAAATTTATTCACATCCGCAGGGGCCGGCGATCTCGTGTCCTCGCTGACGAGCACGTTCGACCAGAAGCTGCGGTCGCTGAACAACTCGTCGCCGCTCGACGATGGCAGCATCCCGTACGCGGACGAAGCTCAGGAAGACAACGAGGACGGCAAATCGAGCGGCTCGCCCTCCGAGGGCAGTCTACGCAGCGAGCGGGCTTCCCCCGCGGCGCGCGCCCACGAACTGAAGGCCGCGTGGCTCGCGCGAGACGTGCGACACTCCTCGTCCAGCAGCGACGAAACCGCGTGGCCGACCGCAACACGACGCAACGACCCGCCCTCCCCGCCCTCACCGCCCGACGACGCCGACGACTCCGAAAAGGAAAACTGCTCCAACGCCCCGCCCGCCTCCCCCGACCGAGCCGGCGGCGAATCGCGAGACGAGCCGGACGCGACGCACGCCAAACCGAAGCGCACCGAGTCGCTCAACAGAGAAGGCAGCCGGACGGAGACGCGCGTGCTCCGTTCCGAGTCGCTCAACTGCCGGGCGCGGCCGGAGCCCGAGCGCGAGTGGGCGGCGGCCGCGTTCCGGCGCCGCGACGCCGCCGCCGCGTGGCGCTCCACCAAGCTCAAGCGCAAGAACGGCATGCCCGAGCGCGGCATCAAGCGCCGGCACACGGTGGGCGGCACCAAGGACTTCGACAAGGACGGCTGGAGCGCCCGGCACACGCGCACGTCGTCGCCCGACCTCACCGCCGCCACCACTGCCGTGTGGCCCGCGCCGCTGGTGCCGCCGCCGCGGCCGCCGCTCGAGTCGCACGTGTGACGTCACGCACACTCGCTATGAACGCGCCCCACGCCTGGTGCTTGTACGGTGCTGCCTCGCAACCCACGAGTGCTGTTTCTTTAGTGCCCGAACGCGACTAGATCGCGCGACGCTCGTTCGCGAACGATCGGTGACTTTTCAGAATTGAATTCCCGCGTCCCCGATGCTGTTTCGAATCTCGATCAGGATTCGCCGCAGTATTTGTTATCGAATCGGTCTCCGATCGTTCGCGGCCGACCGGACCCCCTCAGTTGTAACCACCACGCCCGCGAGTCGCCGGCGCGGCGCTCGTCGGCCGCCGGAATGAATCCTGCGGTTCGAAGCTTTCGACTAGAGAGAGGCTATTATTTTGATTTGATTCAATCGACTGAATAGATTAGGTCACAAAATACACTTAACTTTACCCGTCGGAGAATGAACGCCCGCGTTCGAGACGGCAGTGTACGGTGCGAATATGAAATTCCACGCGTATTCGAACCGTCGCTACCAATAATACTTCACGTCTAACGAAAACTAGGTTTAATGTTATTATGATAATGTACGGAACGAAAGAGATTCATGACTTATTATTTAATCAGTGCAATACGAAGTCCGGAATGTAGTAGAAATTATAATCTGAAACGAGAAAGATTCGCCAGTGGAAGCGTAAACAAACTTAGCTCACTATATAATGCCAAAGAATGATAAAGAAGCTGATGACTTGAGTCGAGACGCATACGCAGAGCGTGCCAGAGTGTCGAGCGAACAGGTGAACGGAATGCGAGGCTCACGCTTGGGACTGCAGCAACGAACCAATCATATCAAGGAAATGAACACAAAACTTGAAATAGCAAAGTATTTGTAACTTGTACATAGAACTACCATTATAGTTAGAACGTCCCACGACCTACACTCTGTTTGTAGCGCGACTCCCTTCGTAGGTACTGAACTACTTTTTACGGAGTCTCCGTGGGATTTATGAAGAGTGCAAAATGAAATGCATAATATAGATAAAATTAGTGCTACTAGTTTATAGTTAGTACAGAAAATGAAATTTTAATAGGTTATCGCCGTAGAGCGACTTATTTAAATATTAAGTAAACATACCTAATGTACCTATATATAGGTAAAGAATATGACCAGACTCTTATAACACCACTTAAATTTAAGTAATATTTAGATGATAAATACTAGGTAGATTCATAGAAATTTCATAAGGAATATTGTTATTAAAAATAAAATATATTATGAAAAATGCGTACATCACCTACTTGCCTTTACAATAGTGGTAGCCAATTTGAATTTTATGCACAATTCTCAAATCATAGAGTATCTGATATTTTAACGCATCTTGGAGTTACCTGTAACGTCTCTTCGTTATTGAAAACCTTTTGAATGTTATTATTCTAATAAATAGATATTTGCTATTAGTTTTTTAAGAGACGATGAAAGGCCGATATTTTAATAAGTGAAGGCTTTAAAATAACAAAAATGATTATTGTAAATATTGAATGCAATTATATGAACTCAATATAACTTTATATCCTATTCGCTATTACTACAATATGTTTATCAAATAGCGTTTTTAACTACAACTAATTGACGTAACACTTATGATACAGTGATAATGTTAAAGTGATCCCTTAGCTTTGTAAAAATGTACAATTCTTTTACGGTTAATTTATATTAAATTTGTTATCGTAGCTTTGTTGAATGCAATTATTTTTATTGTTTTGTTTATGTATCAAAGAGAAGTATTTTAGGCTAAATTTGATTGTTATTTATTTTCGGAAGATGTTAAAAAAAATACTACCCATGTGATTTGGCACAGTTTCCTTTTAAAAAAGTAATTAATTACTCAATCGTGTAAATATTGTCTTTTAATTTTCTCTAAATAGAAATTATGTTCTTTTAACTTTTTTTTTAAATTTTATACCATCTTTACATGACGATCTCAAGTTTGTTGAATGTTTGCAAAGCGTTCCTTTTAAAGTTTTATTTGTAAATATTCATTATCATTTAATGTAGGGACAGTGAATTTACTAATTTTACTGAATTATTGTAAGTAGAAGGTAGGTGTCAGTAGCGCTGGCGGATAAGTGGCCGCTTATTAAACCGTTTATAAAAGACATGACTCTCCAGAAGAGAGAACTCGCTCGAGTGTCTGCTTACAAGTGATTTGTATACAAGTCTATTCATTTTCTTCGTGTAATCAGCTATGAAATTCAAATAACCACCTATTAAAGACATTTTTGCAAATGCGGATTAATCCATATTTGTACTTGTCATTGTGTATATTTTGGAGCAACGGAAATAAAATATTGAACGATGAACATTTGTATTTATTGTTACCTAAACTAAAGGAAAAATCTAAAAAGAAAATTCACTTCTACTACAAACTGTTTTAGTAAATCTGTTAGAATATGATTTTCACTAAATCTTGTATACATCCAAGTCTTACGCATAAACAAAACATAACATAGACAACGAAGCCTGCGTAGTAGCAATTTTATATACCAAAACATCCAATGTGCAAGTTGGTGTACATTCAATTTTTACTTAAAATGTTTGCTAATAATTCTAATGCCGGCTCCTTGGCTATTACACAACAATTAACACTATTGTATGGGAAGCAGAGGCCCAAAAACGAATTTTGACAGCTCGATCGCATCGTCAAAGTTTCTATGAAAACTAAGCAATGCCCCTATCCGACGTAAGAACAAACTAGCTTTTTCCATACAAAATTTGAGGATGATTGCAGAGCTATCAAAATTTGTGCTTGGGCCTCTGAATGCATCGACTGATCGAAACTGTTGGCAACTGGTATTGGTAAAAGTGTTATTAATTTTACTCTTTCGACTTTCGAAAGGCAACATCAAAAGGAGAGGTTTTATGAGACGATTCGGCTACTTTATATAAGAAAAGTTTATCGATCAAAGTGGTTTGTCGCTTCGTTAATGTTTTGTTTTCTGTGGGGCAATTAAATAGCTTTGTATTGTATATGCAATGAAACATGATTATAATGAATTACACGTTTTATTTCGATTTAATTAATTACGTTCATAGAACCATAACATCACCAATCATTATACAGAATCAAAAATATAATTTCCCATTCACAAAGAGCAGATTTGTTGTACCAAGAAGAGACACGAAACACGTAATACAAACATACATTATTCCAGTACCCCTAGCGGCAAAATCATTTAAACTAATTTCAGTAATTGCTTGTAATAACTTTTAAAAGTTAAACATAAATCTTTATTAGGCGGAACTATGACTTAAATAAAATCATTTATAATCATGTATTACAAAGTAATTATGTAACGAGATTTTGGTTCAGCGATCAATGCTTACTAGGTGTACTGTTAAATATGCCCCATCAATTTATCTTCCGTCAACGTTCTAATGCATAACCTAACATTACTCAGTACAGAAGCATTCTTACCTAAAGCGCATCACACAAATTTGAACTTTTCAGTCAAATCAATTTAACTAACAATCTAAACAAACTATTCTAACTAGACTGCGAGTATTATTAATTATCTTTTGATTGCGTTGCTAATAATCTTTTTCTGATAGACTCAAGCTATCAATGTTTATTGGGTAACCGTCTAGTTAGATAACTTCGTTTATAGGCTTGTGGTATTCAAAATATTTGTAGCCGTTACGCCATTGCAGCGTACACATAATATTAAATTTAAAAAAATATTCCAATGAAGTATTGTTAAGTATATTTTCACAGCATATTCCATACGTGACAATGAGATAACGGCTTTACACCTTTTTTAACTATAAAAACAACAGATTGAGCTTTTCTGGGTCGACCAAGCTTTGTATGAATGCATCCAGTCATTCTTTTATGTTCACTTACATTTCTCTCTCTTTCTCGCTCATAGCATGAACTTCCTCGAGGAACGCTCAGAGACAGGTCGACCCTTTTGATTCCCTAACATACACACATAAATTCAAAAGCTTAATTTTAAGTAAACATGTATTAAATGCTACTTACATGAATTATTGAAACTCGATCATGCATCGTGAGGGTGATTGATAAAGACACTCAAAATACATGGAACTATGTTAATCGCATTATCCTGTTAACTTATACTAACACGGTTGGTGAATTGAGGTGAGTAAAAAGATCATTCGCGTTAACCACAAGTAATAATTATCGAAATCTAAAATCGAACATTATAATACTGTTATTATTATAAGAGTGAGTACACTGAACAATTTTTATGAGTTCTTTTGTCGACATTGAAACTGGTTATGGTCATATCATTGTAACGTCTCTTGAGATTTAAACACAAAAATAGATTTATATAGAAAAAAAAAAATATCGACAAAATACATTTATTATTTTCTATGAAAACTGACTAATATTGTTTTTTTTTTTTATTTTGAATAAGGAATAATGCAATAATAAAACATTCAAGTATGTACTTCATCTTAAAAATATGTATATCCAAATTAAATTTCACTTGAGAAAATGTCATGACTTGTTCGACTAAATTTGGAGATCTTTGCATATTTGCAACTTAACACTAATGCCCACAATGAAGCCACACTCAAGACTCATTGGAAAAGAAATAAATATTTAAAATCTATAAAGAAACAAAACAGAGTAGAAGGCAAGTATCATTTCTCTACTAATATCAACAAAATAGTTTGGAGTGTAAATAAATAATTTAACTATGACTTGCATTGCAGTATATTATAGCCCTTCAATTAGCACCGTCTTCAAACGGAACGGCTAGTTTTAAAGTTCGTACTTTATCAAGTTTAAAGAATGGAAAGTCTGCTTTGCTTATTTTCCACTTTCAAACTTATGATAACAATTAACATCATCATTTAATGAGACATTTATTAGGTTGATATCTTTCCTAATAATTTATTGTTGGGAATTTTAATACATATTTTCCCTCCTAAAACATCTACTTTCCATGAACCATGAAGACTCTTTGTATGATCGTGACAGTGGCATGATGATGAGAGTAATGAACTACTCAATATTCACATAAAGATGGAATACTACGCTTAATAAAAAAAATAAAAATCTGCTTTCAGTGATAAACAATCATGTCAAGGACAAGATTCCATAAAGAGCCGGTCATCCTTGATGTTTTTATAAGACTAATAAAAGACTAATTAGCGGCTTTATGAATTTTCATTTCATTACATTTTCTAATCAACCGACAGGTGAGGGTCACAGCAGCAAAGGCTTTGCTTGAGAATATCTACCGTGATGCGGTCGCTTATGCATTTTACAGATGGTCGATCACTTTTTATTGTTCATATAATTTAACCTAGAGTTTCTGCAACTAAAACTCTCAAAACGAAGCAATAAGACATTGTGACGAGTAACTTTACGAGGCATCAAAACAGATTTTCAGTCTTTGAGCTTCAAATAATTCGTTTAACAAATCATTTCTTTTTTATATCTTTATCGTTTTTATATCTTTTTTTTTGGGTTATTATAGTGTCAAATAGCTATATTATGTGGACTTATCGGCGACTGCAAATCCTTAGATGTCCTTTTATCTACTCCAAACTGAACGCTAAAAAGGAAGCCACTATGCAGTATTTTGACATATTGCGTTATCTGTACTCTAACCCCAAGTACGACTCAAATCGAGAAAACCCAACTAACTTCATTTAGCTTTCCCATACGTTTATTTCGCCTTATAAACATCAGTATACGAACCCAGTTTCTTCCATCAAAAGGATGTTCGATTAATTACCTCTCTTACTTCAGAAAGAAATCTCCTACACTTTTTTTACCTTACCTATGGAGGTGTTTATGTCTTCTACGTTTTCGTTGGATGGGTAGGGTTTCGCCTCGTCGGTCATTCGAACCCAACTAGTACCATCAAAAAGTCAATCATTAAAAAAATATCCAATTGAGATTACCTCAATGCGATAGCGGTTCTAATGCCTTCTAGTTTTTCGTTAGGGTATCGCCATGTTAGTCGTATTCGACCCCACTTTGTACCACCAAAAAGATATTCCTCAACCTCACTTATTTGCGATTAAAGTCTTCTTTAGAGAGGTTGTTTCGTTGGTAAATGGTAGTACTCGCGCGTAGTATACCGGCCATCAGTCTCTGTCAGGAGCGGTAGCGAGAGCGGGAGCGGTCGTTGAAGCGGTAGCGGGACCGGCCGGTGATCAATAACAAGTCGAGAAAACCCAGCTAGCATCATATCGCTTTCCTAGACATTTCTTTTATGTCAGGAGAAGTATTCGACCCCACATTATTCCGTCAAAAAGATATTCTTAAAAAATTCTTCAACACAGATTATGGAGGTTCTTGACTCTTCTCAACTTTCGTGCGGCGATCAATGGTAGTACTCTCGCGTAGTATAGCGGTGGGGCCGTCAGTCTCTGTCCGGAGCGAGAGCGGGCGCGTTTGTTGAAGAGGTAGCGGGAGCGGAAGCGGGAGCGGCCGGTGATCAATAACAAGTCGAATCGAGAAAACCCAGCTAGCATCATTTCGCTTTCCTAGACGTTTCTTTCGCCTTGTAGACGACAGGAGAAGTATTCGACCCCACTTTATTCCGTCAAAAAGATATTCATAAAAAAATCTCCAACGATGGAGGTTCCTATTTCTTCTCAACTTTCTTACGTCGGGCAATGGTAATACTCTCTCGTAGTATACCGGCGCGGCGGGCGCGGCAAGCGGCGGGGCCGTCAGTCTCTGTCCGAAGCGGTAGCGGGAACGGGCGCATTGGTTGAAGAGGCAGCGGGAGCGGGAACGGAAGCGGAAGCGGGCGCGGCCAGTGTTCAATAACAAGTCGAATCGAGAAAACCCAACTAGCATCATTTCGCTTTCCTAGACGTTTCCTTTGCCTTGTAGACGACAGGAGAAGTATTCGACCCCACTTTATTCCGTCAAAAAGATATTCATAAAAAATCTCCAATTGAGATTATCTCACTTCGATGGAGGTTCCTATTTCATCGGTCAATGGTAGTACTCTCGCGTAGTATACCGGCGCGGCGGGCGCGGCAAGCGGCGGGGCCGTCAGTCTCTGTCCGGAGCGGTAGCGGGAGCGGGCGCGTTGGTTGAAGAGGTAGCGGGAGCGGGAGCAGGAGCGGAAGCGGGCGCGGCCGGACCCCACGGCTGGACGGGCGGGGTAGACGGCCTCGCCTCCTCCGTCCCATTCCCTTCTAAAGACAGACTGTTCAGCAGCATGTCGAACAGCGTGTCCTGAGAATACGAATTTTACTTAGTAACATTAACAAAATCATATAATAATATTAAATATAAATAAATATTTCCAACACTCACACCAATTAGCCTAGCCCCAAAGTAAGCACTGTAAGGCTTGTATATACAGTACATAATATAAGTTTATTTATTTATTATTTTAGAAATACATATTAAACATCCATGACTGAAGTACAAATGCTAGTATTCATCACGCAAACATCTGCCCCCACCGGGATTCGAACCCGGGACCACTCGAGTCGGCGACACCCTGAAACGCGGGGTACAAACTACTCGTCCACAGAGGTCGTCAATCATATTAAGGTCGTTAATTATATATTGTTTTAAACTTGCGTCACTAACACTGTAGTAATTTATATTATATTATGCGATTCAAATAGGAATAGGAACGCCAATGACCTCCATCTGTCAAATGTCGCTTGAAAAGTATGGTTTGCAAAAAAATCTTGAAACCCTTTTTAACACTCAGCTAATTATAGAATAAAAACCAAACATTTTTAAGCAAACAATAACAAATATTGATAAATAATATTGGTTGATATTATTTATTTGCTAATCTAAATTGTCAACCAAATAAATGTCACTTTAAGTTGCGTTCAGGAACTCGTATTAAAACTTTCGTTTACATAAAGGATGCATGTTCGTATGTGACTTAGTAATAGTGCATGATTATTCATAACTACTCAGGCGGTAATGCAAAGGTGAGTGGAATTGAAGAGCTTAATTCTGATTAATGTTTTTTCTCACAGTCTTAATAAATAAATATTATTAAAAATCGTTTGTTTTCTTTTCTCAAAATTAGTAAAAAAAAAATATCAAATAATCTGATGTTTTTTCTCATTTAATCTTAGTAAATAAATTTTATTAAATAAAATCTTTTTTTGCTCACTCTACCTATTTCTTTCGAATTGACAGCTATGACGTCACAATATGGCGTCCTATTCTTAGTTGAATCGCATTATACTATACGTCGCGAAGTGACGCAAAGCACGGGGTAACTCCGTGGTCAAGGCGTTAGCAACAGCGTCGAAATATCGGAGACTCGTAAAAAACAAGGTACGTGGTAAAAATCCCGTTAATAACATAAATAACTAACTAACTACTAATTAACATTTTCTTCCCTTTATTACTGTTACTGATAAAAATAATTGAAAAACGATATAAAAAGATATTAATTTTCAAGCTTTTATAAAGAGTGAGATAGTGTATGTTATAAATAAAATTAAAAATAAACAAGAAGGTCAATATACAGTACATGAGATAAGTGATGGACAGACAATGAATAATAATAAAATACAGCATATATTACAAGTGAGTAATACAAAAGCTTACACAAAATAATTAAATACTTATCATTAGTTAATTTAATAAGTCATTGTTTCAACGATGTCACAAAAGGACAATGGTAAGAAACGTCCCCACCCCCCAAACAGATTTGGAACAAGTGTCATTCGAAGCGTCTAGTAGGATAGATAATTTCTTACTATGGCAACATACTTCAAATATAGGGGATTTAGGTTTTATAAATACTAGAAGTGCCCTGCAGTTTCTCCCACTTTAATTTGGGGAAATAGGTTATAGTGGGTCATATTTAAAAGATAGACAAATGTTGTTGTGGGCTTTTTTATAGAACTATATGACTTTTTTATAGAACTACCTTTAAAGGAGAACGATTCCGTTCTACATAATTTTTGTGCAACTTTTACCGTTTAGGCAGCGCACGAACGACGACGTTCACGACTTTATGTAAAATGAATTAGATAGAACCTGAAAAATCTAAAGTCAAATTCAAGCCACCCCAAGCAGTACATGGCAACTCAGAGCTATCAATAGCATGGCTTCGTCGAATAATTAAAGAAAATTCTTTACTCTTTCTTTTTAGTCGTATTGGTTTTATGAAGTTTGAGATTGGATTGAGCACCGTTTGTAATTGAAGAGTCTATTATTTTCTCTGAAAATAATAAACGGATGGAAATCCCCAATGGTGCTTTTTAAATATTTATTAAGTACGGTAATAATTAGCTCACTTAGTAAGAAAAAACTATATCAGCAGTTTGCAGCTTCCTTTAAATGGTAGGAGACTGTACTGAGTCACCTCTTCAAAAAAAATATGCACATATATTGATAACATTAAAAAAAAAAGCTCAGAGCCGTCCAGTGAAAACTTCAGGAGATTTGTTATTTTGTACAACTTACACGCACGTAAATAAGTATAAGTACCTAACTTATAAGCATGTCGTAAATATATGTCTGAACTAATAACAGACCCTAGCACTTTGCTTGGCTATTCACGTTTGCTATATCTTAACTTGACAACAGTCTGTCCTTATCATACTTTATAAGGAATGAAAAGGACAAAATGATGTCAAGTTCACATATAGCAAACACGAATAGCCATATCCCCCTCAGATTCGAGTGGTCTATAGGCTCCAGACGGAGAGGAGACTCCCCCCGTGGGAAGATGCCATCCGCCTGGAATAGAGAGAATAAAGAGAATACCGCCGAGAATTGGCGAGTGCTTCTAGGCACTCGCAAATTCTCGGCCCGAGGTCCCCTTACGATCTCCCCAAACCCGGTGACGCTGTAAAGCTCAACCACAGGACCTCTTTCTATGTTCTGTGAGCTCAACTGCGACCAAAAGCATACACACTCAAAAAAATAACGAATAGGTAAGTGAAGTTTTTTTTTTGTGACATCATCGAAACAGCTCGCAATATGCAGTGCTGGGTGTGTTAATATTTACGTTGTAGTCCAAATAGAGTTCGACCTCGTCATTGTCGCTGACGGAGGACACTGAGGGCCAGTAGTCGTGGAGCGCGAGGCTCGACACAGGCGATAGGGCTCCGCGGTCCGGGGTGCCGGGCGGGGTGAGGCCGAAGCCCCCTCTGTTGCCTAAGTAGGGAGAAAAAAGTAATTTTAATCACATCTATTCGGAAAAGGCTAGTTCGTTGTACGTTAACAGGGACTAAAAAACTTTTTTAACAAAAATTAAACCGACTTCTAAAAGGCAAAATCACTAAAAATTAAGAAATTAATAAGTTTTCTTTTCTCAAATTAATATTTGGAGTCGGTGTCATGCCAGCCCAAGTTCACTCACTCACTGGCGCAGGCATGGCTCAATTAAAATCGACTTCTAAAAAACAAAATCACAGTTTTAGTGATTCTGTTTTTTAGAAGTCGGTTTTAATTTTAGTTAAAAAAAAATACTTTTCGACTTTAATATGTGGTCTGCAATCTCTCATATATTTTTCGTAATTCGTATTTTCGTTCCTAACCTAACCTAACCAAACACGATATGTGTACTGTACCCCTAGCACGTACCATTATCGAATTCAAATAGTTTGCAAACCGAAAATCAATGTAAAATTTTGTATGGAAACTTGAACAGCAGCGGCACAAAGTACGTAACGCGAACTAAAAATCAGTACACATTTGACAATGACATTTCGGACTCGCAAACGGTACGAACTAGATATTGGTGCGTGCTAGGGGTAATGTTGGTATTTGAGGAGTTCCGTTATTTATCTCCAAAAGTATTTTATCTGATCTTCACCGAATTAACATGGGACCATTTCGCTAACAAACTCTTCTAACCATAACAGAATCATGAAAATTGATCCACTAACCTCGGAATCTATGCCTGAACAACAATAAAAAATACATTGACGAATTGAGAACCTCCTCCTTTTGTAAGTCGGTTAAAAATTGCGTTTTGATCCCTGAAGACTAAAAGTGACTTGGATCAGGAATCTGGGTATTGTAAGTATAGGTTCCAATCACCAAAGAGATCAATCACGAACATTTTGTGAATAAGTCACACGCTGTATAATAACATACCCGCGCGCTTGCCAAATTAAAAAGAAAGTTTTTCTCTCAGAGACTGATAAATAGTAGAGTATCAACCTCGGGAGCAACGCTATTTTAAAGCTCAAGCGACATCATTCGCGTGGAAACGCTCTCACTTTTAAAATAGACCTTCACTCCCTTAGTAAACAATCTAATTGTGCATCAGAGTGGCCGATACATTGAGTTGATAGCACTAGCGAGCAGCCGCGTACAACTTTTTTTTTTTGAAAATGTCATGTATAAAGTATTAAGTAAAGCTAGTTTGTTATTCTAAAGAAAGTTTTACTAGAAAAAAAACCCACGCGGACCAGGCAGCGTACGGGACTCGAACCCGCACCGTTCGCAACCCGGGCGAATGCACTGACTAATTATGCTACCACGGCTCTGATGGCCGCGTCGAAATTTTCCTAGGCTTAAACTGCAAGGCAGCGCCATCTCTCTTATTGTAGGTAACCCACAATGTCAAATCAATACCTTTTCAAGTATTAAACATTTGAAAGAAGAAATAGCAATTATAGTTGTTTTTTTATTTTTTTAAGCATTTAACTGCTAGATGTTTAAATCTAAAGAAAAGTTTTACTAGAAAAAAACCCACGCGGACCAGGCAGCGGGCGGGACTCGAACCAGCACCCTTCGCAATCCGGGCGAATGTACTGACCAATTATGCTACCATGGCCCTGATGGCCGCGTCGAAATTTTCCTAGCCTTAAGCTGCAAGGCAGCGCCGTCTCTCCGCATTGTAGGTAACCCACAATGTCAAATGAATACTTTTACAAGTATTAAACATTTGAAAGAAGAAATAGCAATTATAGTTGTTTTTTTTAAGCATTTAACTGCTAGATGTTTAAATCTAAAGAAAAGTTTTACTAGAAAAAACTACTATATGTTTAAAGCTTTAGATTAAAACATCTAGCAGTTAAATGTTTAAAAAAAACACATTGTTATTGTTACCAGGCGGGGTTGCAGCCTGAGATAGGGGGTCACTAAACTTAAATGCAATTGTAACTACGATTATAAGAAACAAATGAATGCCTACAAGTTAAACAAAGTTGTCAACTTACTGGTAGGTCTTGTATTTTCTGGTCGTCGCCTCAACTGTCCAGGGGACAGTGGCTGAGGTTTGGGCAGTCTTCTAACGCGCGCGTTTTGGTTCGTGGTGCGGCGTGAACGAGTTCCGTTTCCGTGGGAATGTGACCCCGAAGGTCTCTCGTCTGGACTTAGGGCACTCGCAGTCCAGTGCCGCTTCGGGCCTAGGGAATATACGATTATTGTTAAAAGTTAGTTACAATGCACCTGTCTTAATATGTTCGTCACCCCACACTCGAATCGAAACCACTCACCGTGCTTGGAATGCTTGGAAGTGAGTCCTTCGATCCTCATAAGGTTTAACAGCAGCATATCAGTATGAGCTGCAGTGGACAGCTGCGAGTCAGTATTGTAACGCTCGTAGCGTTACGGCCTCCCTGCTTGTGTAAACTCTTTTTGCCTGTGTAATGCCTCCAGCTGGCAGTTACATTATAAGTAAACCTTCTGTCTCACATCGAAGATTCCAGAGATTGAATTCAGGCACAGACTCAAGCGGTTGACTATTAAGTAAAGGATGATATGTTTTCCTGAATTTGAATAAACCAAGTAAAAAGTCTTAATCGTTATGATTACCATTTGAGTTTTACCCCCCGGGATCTCCAACCTGGAGATCCCACAGTATCGTTGTCTCCAATACACAAGGTTAAATAGTATATCTTTTTTCACCACCACTCTAATGAAACCACTCACCGTGCCTGGAATGCTTGGGCGTCAGTCCGTTGATCCTCATCAGGTTCAACAGCAGCATATCTGTATGGGCCGCAGTGGACAGTTGCGGGTCGGTATCGCTGTCCCGTCGCGGCGCAGGCGGCGGGACCGAGCCGTCGGTGACCGCGGGCGTGACGCCGCGCGACTGCACCGCGCACAACAAGCGGCTCAATATATCTGTTCCCCCTCCACTCACCGCCCCCGCCCCTCGGCCAGATCCCCGCGACCAACCCCCGCAAGCGCCTTCCACGTCGTTCTCACCTGTCACCGTAAAACAAATTCAGTTCGGGGCGCGCCGTTAGAAATCACCATTGTATTTAAACTACTTACTTCCAAGTTTAAGGGTTCTCATGTGAGTTGTAAGGAATAATGTGAACTAGGATTGTTATAAATGACCGTAACTTTTATCTTTTAACCATATTATTTATCAAGTTTTTAACGTCAAATTTCGTTGACAACAAATAAGTGAATAAGAAATCTAAAATTGAGTGAACGACTCGCTATTGGAGATTGTGTTCGCTTCTAATTTTCAGTAACATAAATAAGTTCTTTAACAAATTCAATATTAAATAAGGATCAAAAGCTTTTTCTAAAGAATTAAATTAAATTGAGTCGCCAATATAGAATTCGTTCGCATGTAATTTACAGCAACATAAATAAATTTTCTTAGATATCAAACTTAAAGAAAAAATCATCTGCTTTTTATTCCCGTTCCTTAAATATAGCCGAGTGAACTTTATTTCGAGCAACATAAATAAGTTTTCTTACTAATTCAACTTTGAAAAAATAATCAACAGTTATTTAGACGCCTGTTTCATAGAAGTGTCCAATATTTTTTTCGCGTATAAATTAATTCCGTGTGTATTGGGTTAATCATATGTCTCCGCAACTGTGTTCCGCGTGGTAGCGCGGTTGTTTGGGTCGCGCGTACGGCGGCGAGTTGCGACGTCTCGTGCGGCGGCGGTACCCGCAGCGGTGGCGGGACAGCGAAGGCGACGCGTCCGACGCGGCCGACGGCGCCGAGCACACTGACACGAGGGATTCGCTGAGAGCGCACCACTCGCACGACCCGCTCGCTAGCGACGCGTCTGGAGAGGAGAGGGGGTTAAGTTGGGAATGGGAAAGGATAGTGTAGGGATGGGAGAGGGAATAAATAATACGGAGGAAGGGGAACAAGGTTCGATGTGAGACGGAGCGGAGGAGATAAGTCAGCAACAAATAGTGTCGGCATCAGAGGGAATAAGTAACACGAGTTAACTACAAGAGGTTCAAAATTATAAGTTATAAATATATTATTATAATTATTGAACGTGCCGCACCAGCTATCTTTCATATATAACATCGGATGGAGTGGCATAATTTGCTGAACTTCTAAAAACAAAAATTCACATAAGCACACAGCGCCCGATGACATGTCGCAACAGCGACTCCCATGACCCGCTTGCTAGCGCCGCGTCTGGAGTGGAGAGGGGGGGGGGGAGATAAGAATGGGTTGGCCTAATCAGTTACTGTAGCAACTCGCAATGTGTGACCGAATCATTCGAGTTACTGTCATATTTGAGTCGGATTATATATTTTTTATTTAATTCGCCACCGCCTTTCCCCACCGTCGCGTCGGCTCGCATGTCTTTGCATACAAACAATTGCGCGTACGCTCGTTGCGACTACGCCGGGTGAATTATTTCGTTTGACAAAATGGCGGATAGATGGACTTCCGAACAAAATGTCTCGTCACTTATTGTGGTATGAAACATGAGCCGTCGTGTGTGTTTTGATAACATTGCACGAGACTTGTCACATGAGAAGTCAGAAGGCGAGTACACAGATGCAGTAGCTGTCATCAGCAGCTTGCACTGTGTAACCTCACCTTAAGCGACACGAGTTAACTACAGTTACAGTTCCTATAGCAATCGAAGAGTAAGGATCGCGGAGGTATGATTAATACATGCCGCATCATCTATCTTCGATTTTGTAATTCACTCATAATTTAATGTATGATGAAGTGGGTATAAGCTTGAAAAAAGCACACAGCACGCGATGATGTAAAACACTGACTCGCACGACCCTCTCGCTAGCGAAGCGTCTAGAGGGGGAAGAGGATAAGTTAAGAATGGTAAAGGATAGTGGAAAGATCGGATTTCGACGAATTGTTTAAAATAGTAGTAGATATATATCGATCATGGAGGAAATAAAGTCAAAAGGCAAGGCGGAAATAAATGCTCAAAATTACATATGGTTAAAAGTATAAGTGTAATGATACTGTCTTACCGGACATAGTTTCGTCATCAACGTCATTTTCCTCATTGGAGTTGTCGTCGGCGTGGCTGGCATTGTTCTCGTCGGCGAAAACCTCCAACTCGCTGAGTATTAGCTCCTGAAAAAGAACTTCCCAATAAAATAATATACATGATTAGGTATCAAATTGCATTAATTTTGGCACAGTTCTGACTTTGAATTGGTAAATTTTTCATGCGAGCAGATTCTATTAGCTATTACTGAGACTAAAATTTCAAAATGGTTTCTTGTGAACGTAAAAAGAATAGGTGAAAGAAAGAAAGGATTAATTTCATAAAATTATTGTGTTTGAACGAAGAACACAAAACAATATAACAAAAGAACTTGGAAAATTGCAAAAACCGTTAAAAAAATCATACTGGTTTTTTAAAAGTATGATGCAAGTAAAACTTTTAATTCTTTATTAATATACGAAGAATAAGCTTAGAAAAGTTACGCCGTGTTTTTTTCATGTCACTCAAGAGCCATTTGTCATTCAATGAACAAAGACAAAACATAGGCTAAGTAATCCAAGCTTAGTCTTCGATTATTAATAAGGTGGGTGAAAGTGTCTTAATTTTTTCAGATCGAAGATTGAATTGAAAATTTTCGGAAAATTAATCGATCTAAATCGATGCGGCGGCTCGGGTTTGATTCCCAGCCAGGGAAGGACATTTTTTATTTTGCACTTCTTTAACAAGCAACCCTTGCTAAGTTTCTTGCCGATTCTACACAGTACAAGGTCTCTTGCCGTAAATTTGCGAACCGATGGCGTAGCTTTCAACATTCACGTGGGCTTTAAAAAGCCTAAACTGAATAAATGAATTGAATTGACTTTCTCAACCCCGAAACGCTGTAGTCAAGGTCTGCTTTACTCCTACTGTTTTTAGAGCTCAGAGGCGCGGAGGGGGAGCTGCATATTTGAAAACATAATTTTTATTCTCGTATTTTACTGATATACGCAACAGAATAAGAAATGTATATATTTTTATGGGGTCATTATTAACTAATAAATAACGCATGAACGTTTATAAAAACTTGTCAAATAGCCTATTGGTGAATGATACAGAGGACAAACTAATTTCTAAGAGGTAATAATCGTTGGAGGAACTCGATAATGTAAGTGGTTCGGCTGCAATCGGTAAAGTTAAGAGACTTTCGCAGTGGTCGGTTATTGGATGGGTGACCAAAATTTTACTATCTCAAGCTCCTCCTGACTTCGGAAAGCACGTTTAGCCGTTAGTCCCGGCTGCAACTGCAGTAGTAAGGACCCAACAATCCGCGTGCTGCCAGGTCCGATTTGTTTTAAATCGGTACAAGAGGTCAAAAAAAACGGGATTTAGGGTTGTAGATCGGGACAGTAAACAAAATCAAGGGGTTTTTAAGTCTGGGTTTAATTAATTGCGTTTTAAACTACGAGTGCAAGTATAGCATTATATTGATAACCTAAATTTCATTTTTTGATTAATCGGGACATTTAGCGTCACGATCATGTACAAATCGGGACGCGTCCCTAGACCCCTGAAAATCGGGACGTTCCGCGCGAATCGGGACACCTGGCAAAACTAGTTATGGCCCAATCTCCCTATTCCACACATAGGGAAGGCCTGTGCCCCAGCAGTGGGAACATTAATTGGCTGATGATTATATATTTTTTTATAAATTGATATTTAAATATAATTTGATGCCAAAATTAATTAATTTTCTCTATTACCTGCCGCCTATATTTTCTCTTCTCTCTATTTGCTGTGCCCTGTTCAGGGTCTACAATGATCAAAGCAATGTACCTACTAAGACCTAAGAAAACATTGTTGAACGTAATAAAGTATTTATTGATTGATAAATACGTACGCCTGTATCACTGCTGGTGATGGAAGCCGCGTACAGTGTTTGGGTGCCGTTAGGACTTTCCTGAGTCTCCCCAGTAGCTTCAGGTACATTTTCTGGTTTCGTTCCTACGTTTGCCCCTGAAGGTACTCCAGGATTCAATTCAGGCGATGACATCGAGGAACAGAGAGCCGTATTGGTAGAAGCTTGAGTGGCTTCCGCTGTTGGTACGTTAGATACAGCTGAAAGTTATATTCAGAATTTCTTAATCTGGCCGGTGGAATGTATGAGTGATCTTGAAAAAAAGTAAGAAACTGCGTGATATATTTCCATTTATTTAGAGCTCAATAGGCTGCGATTGTTGAAATAGAGCAACTTTCGCAAAAGCCGAACATGGGGTGGGAGCAACGATATTAAATACCCTGGATACACCAACACGAACAAAATCGTGGCCGTAACCTGTCCAAAAGGTACATTGGACGATTCACGGAGCTCCGTAAGATGATCGCGTAGTCAAAAACAAAATAAGGCATTATTTAAACATTGAAAGTGACCTTTAACACGTACTGTATAAGGTCTTAGTTAAAACACATGCGTCAAAGACTTATGACAGTTCGAAATGGAAACTCGCAAAATTTTACGACTTATTGCTATATGCGGAAGAATATAGACCTTATTTCTTTTACTTCTACGCGCTATTCTGAATGCGCTGTTAGCAATACAGCGGGTACAACCGAACATGCATTTGAATATCACAAATATTTTATATTAAATCAGTTTATAGTAAATATTATAACAAAATTTGCTTCAAATGCGTTAAATTAACAAACATTGATTAGATACCTGATAGATGGATGTCGAAAAAATGACGCTTTACGTACTATAATTTATTACGTATTTTTCACGGAGCTCTGCGGCATCTGAACTTTTCAACGGTCCGCGCGTAAGAAGTGCTTGAGTGGAGTTCAAGCACTTCTTGATTGGTACACATTTTGAGCGCTCGTGGTGTATCTAGGGTATTTAATATCGTTGGGTGGGAGGCCAAAAATTATGTCGAGCTTTTCCGTACTTAGGAAAGCACATTTGGCTTCCTAGGAGTTCTGTTGTCAACCCTCTAGAAAAGAAGACAAAATAATAAATACTTAACGACACTGGTGTCGATTATTATTTAATTCTTTATTTATTCCAACTTTATTTAGAATGTCAAAGATTACACTATTGTCAAATTTAATATTAGGTTTAGTTAGAGAATCATTTCTGAATCGACACCATAGCCATTTTAACATTTCTTTTTTAGCACGGAAGCCTAGCCTAGGAAGGTGGAAACCAGCGTTGCCAGACGTCCCGATTTTTAAATCAAAATTAAATGTCCCGCGCGACAGCGGACAGGCTTAATCCCGCTTTTTGGGAATAACTCGACCGTGCGTGCATCGTACTGAGAAAACGCGGGCGGGTGGCACAGACAAGCGTGGACTGGCCACCTGCCCGGTGCGTAATGAAGAACTCTAACTAACGATAGGGTAAATCTTATTTAAAATATCATATTTTTATTTCTACGGATATCTTTACTAGGTACCTATCTATTGTCACGTAAACGTAATTTGAACTCAAAAAGATAAATATTCATAAACTTTTGATTATATACGTTTTTTTTACTATGTCCCGCTTTCGGCGAAAGTTGTATCCGGCTTTTTTCACTCAAAAAGTTCCTAAATCCCGAATTGGAAAAATAAAACTGGCAACGCTGGTGGAAACTATATTTTAATTACACTGTATAGGACGAAATAAAGATAAAGAAAACCTATCGGCCACTTACCAGCAGCAGGTGTGGCGTCCTTAGCAGGCAGATGGTGTTCCGCATTCCTCGACTGCTTCCCAGAGTGCAGTTTACTGGGAACGCGAGTTGGCGCGTTGGCGACGCTCAGTAATGTATGCAGACTCACTAGCGCCATGTTGTCCGCGCCCGAAACGTGTAGGGAATTCGCCGACCTTTTATAAATAAATAAATGAATAATATTCACTCTTTTTTTAATGTTAACACTAGATTTTACTACAAAAAAAATCCACTCGGTCCAGGAGGCCTACTCTATCGTTCGATCGAAACTTCTCACTTTTCTTACTATGTTTCCGATTCTTTTTTAATTATAATAATATTCGTCGTCGGAATATAGATTTTATAAGCCTACGCAAATAAAGCTTCAATTCGATAGTTTATCGTTCAAATTAAGTGTAACGTTAAATTGACAAAATTAAATTTCGTTTGAACTTTCGAGGTTTCATACGGGATTCAAACCCGTATCTCCTACTATCCGGTCGGATAAATCTACAGTCCTAACATCTAGCGGTTAAACGCTAATAATATAAATATATCAATGGTGTCGATTCTGGTATGATTCTCTAAAGCTAAACTTAAATTTGACAACAGTGCATCCCTGTCATTCTCTATACAGAATGAAAAGGAGAGACTGATGTTAAATTTAGTTTTAAGTTTAGAGAATCACGCCAGAATCGACACCAATATTCACTCTTTATTTTAGGTCAGATCACTTCCATTCCAAGGTTGCGATAACGTGTGTAAATTTTACGATTTCTGTAAATAATACTAATAATGGTTATACTATACAAATGCTTAAATAAATATTTAAGCATTCAATTGCTACATTTTTATATCTAAAGTAAAAAAAATACTAGAAAATGTTAAACTCGGCCTGGTACTCATTGAAATAGCAACCAAACTTATCATGCTGTAAAAGTAATCCGTTTGAATGTGTACGGGACGCCGGGCTGTCGCAGTAGCGGACAGTTACCGACTCGTACTGAGGGGTGGAGGAAGTTACACGCAGGAGTCTTGACTGTAGTGGACTGTAGTTTCGGCGAATAAAACCCCTGGTGTTCGGTATTGAAGAAATCGGTGGGCGCTGATAATGGATGGCTGGTGAGAGGAGGCTTCAGGTCCAGAGTGAACCGCTTGATTGTTTCTTCCTGTTCCTTATGGTAGGAGCGCCTGTCGCTGAATGCATGTCGGAGCATGTTCCGACTCGAATTTTATATGCTAGGACTGAGCTGGCCAGCGATCCATTACCTCACCCACGCTATACTTTATTTTTCATTTTTTCAAAAATTACATTAGTGCGAGCTTAAAACTAATTGTACATACATCGGGCATACATATAGGCATATTTTTAACACAGTTATGTGTCCGTAAGCATGATATTTTAGGTGTGGCGCGCAAAAAATAGGTCTCCGCAATATTTATACTTTCCCCCTCCATAGGGCTTCGCCCTGCCACGGGGCTTCGCTGCCCCACCCGCGCGCTCCGGGCGCGCCGGGTGGGGAGCGCAACATGTCTCAAAAAACGGTTCTATACAAACAGATTTTGTCTCCTACATGGTACATTTTTACATTTATTGATGTGATACCTATTTATTTACGTAGCCCTACGCGTTATCTACCTAATACAACAAGTTTCTTACAAGAATATCAACAAACAACAGCTCTGCGGCCCTATAAAGTTTACAAATTAAAAAGTCTTAAAAAAATGGTTGCCTGTAAAGTCGGTTTTACGGGCGAAGATTTTACGTGACAACGTCTTTTTCTCGGTAGAATATTTATTGATATGAATATAATTAAATTGCACAATAGGAACAAGGAATTGAATGAAAATAAGAATTGCACAAATTTTAACTATAGAAATATATTTTGTTTACTAAAACATTGTACATGTAAACTTAAACTTAACACGAGAGACTCATCGTAACGTTACCGAGCGTTACACTTTTTCATAAGTGACTCCCAGCCGCAACCTAATTTAAGACGTTGTCACGTCAAAACCTACTTACATTCACTTAATGCCTAACTATCATATACCATTTTATGGAAGAAGTAAAAACACACAAAATAACATCATTATTATAACAATTATACCTATATCCTATCGACTATTCGTAAAAAACTATTCCCAATATTTTCCTTAATTACGCTTAAACTACTAACACGATTCATACAAAACTTTGATATATTATTCCTATAACTACCTACTTTCTAATAAGACATAAAATAAATCAATCAAAACATAAAACATATTATTATCGAAAACTATCAACTCAGGCAAAATCCTATAAGATGTGAGACAAGGACAACCTATTGTCTCCGTCCCTCCTATAGGTCGGAACTATCAGTATTCTGACTAGTTTCCCCGCGCCACCGCTTGGCGTCGTGGCGATCGTTTAGACAAAGTCTTATAAGATTGTTGGAGAGAACGGGGCGGAATATCGCCCCGTTCTATATATGAACTATCAATTTTACAATGGTTTACTATGGGCAGAGTTATCTATTATTGCGATATCCGACTCATTCTAATAAGACAACAAGGGAATGATATTTTTAATGCGTATACAACCGATACATGTGAAATTATAGATACATTTTATACATCAATCTCATATTGTCGTAAGTTCATTTTCTCTCGCTTCGGTCGTCGCGTACATACTCCCGCCGTGCAGCGTCGGTCGACTCGTCGCTGCATCCATCTTCCGTGGGAGTGGCGGCCGATGCGAATATCACCAGTCGCTTGGTCGGTCTGCGTAGCACTCCTCCGGCTGTCTTCAGGTCGACGACTCGTACTGTGCCGTCTCGCCCGGGAAAAGTGGCGATGACGACTCCCTTGGGCCACGTGTTGCGTGGCAGGTTGCTGTCGGCGATGAGCACGATGTCCCCGATGGCGATGGTCTTCCCGGTCCCGTGAGGCTCCCGCCGGTGTTGCAGCTCGGGTAGGTACTCTCGTACCCAGCGCGCCCAGAAGTGGTCGGCGAGGCGCTGTGCTGCTCTCCAGTGCGGGCGGCCTATCAGGTCGCTCTCGTCGAACTCGCCCGGCAGTGGGACGCGCGCTGAACCTCCCAGCAGAAAGTGGTTGGGAGTGATGGCTTCGTCGTCTTCATGGTGCACGTACACGTGGGTGAGAGGCCGGCTGTTCACGGTGTATTCGGCCTCGGCGAGTAGCGTCGTAAGTACCTCTTCGGGCGGACTTCTTTCTTGCAAAACCGCACTTAGCGCGATTTTGACGGACTTCACGAGGCGTTCCCACGCCCCGCCCATGAATGGTGCTCCCGGCGGTATGTACCTCCACCGGATACTGCGGATGCTTGCTTCTTCGCTCGTCGCCTGCTGCACTGCCTTCTTCATTTCGTTTTCTGCGCCGTGGAAGTTGGTCCCGTTGTCCGACCAAATTTCGGTAGGGCACCCGCGGCGCGCTATCATGCGCCGTAGTGCGTGTATGGCGGAGTCCGTCGATAGTGAGGCGGCCAACTCGAGGTGCACGGCTCTCGTAGTAAGACATGTGAAGAGCGCGACGAAGCGTTTTTCTTGACGCCTGCCCACGGTGACTGTCAACGGCCCGAAATAATCCAATCCGGTGTACGTGAATGGCCGTCGGTGATGAGCGAGGCGCGTCGGCGGCAAATCTCCGGTAGGTGGCGACGGTGGCGCCGCCCTCCTTATGCGGCAGTTTATGCAACTGCTTATTATTCGTTTCGTGACGGGTCGAATGCGTAAAATCCAATAGTGTTGTCTGCACTCGTTGACTGTAGTTTCCACCCCGGCGTGGAGAAGGCTTCTATGTGTGTGTTCTATCCACAGTTGGGTGGCTCGATGGTTCCCGTCGAGTATCGCCGGTGTCTTCTGTGTTTCGGTCACTCCCGCCGCTGCGTTGACCCGGCTTCGTAGGTACAACACGCCGTCGTTGACTATTAGCGAAAGTGGGCGGAGTCGACTGTTCGTAGCGATGGTGGCGCCCCCTTGAAGTTGTTTCAACTCGTCTTGAAATGCGTCGTGTTGTATTACGCGAACTATTATTTTCTCTGCGCGTTCGATGTATCTTCGGTCGATTGCGATTAATTTTCTTTCTTGAACGGTTGGCGTCGTTTCCTTCCTATGTGTCGGCGCCGATTTTTGATTTTTCTTCCAGTCGGGTTCCTTTTCGTTTTTCTTTCTTCTGTAGTTAATTCGGTCGGTTTTCGCTTGGCAGAGGTCGATGAACTGTAGTACTCTTGCCGTAGTCCGAATTAACTTGTCCCAGCGCGAAAATCGAGTGACGTCCGGTGCAGCTTCGGATATTGACGGCGCTTTCTTCGTGCTTATGTGGTGCACGCGTTCTTCCCCGGTGACTTCGGTTGCGGTTGCGGTTTCGGCGGGCCATTCTTCTTGTTTGTTTCGTAGAAACGGAGGCCCGGTGAACCATCTGTGGTAGCCGTAGAAGTCGTGCGGTGATATTCTTGTGGCGTCGTCTGCTGTGTTGAGCTTCGTGGGCACCCATCGCCACTCGTTGATGGTGCTGAGTTCTTCGATGGCGGCTATGCGATGCGCGACGAATGGCTTGAATGAGCGCGATCCCGTTCGCACCCAAGACAATACTGTTTTGCTGTCTGTCCAAAATGTCTTCGATTCTGGTTTTCTTGAGTGCTCTTCTATCACGGTGGCGGCCATTCTCGCTCCCAGGACTGCGGCTTGTAGCTCGAGGCGCGGTATCGACGTGACTTTGAGTGGAGCCACGCGTGCTTTCGCCGTGATGAGTGACACGTCGACTTGACCTCCCGGTGACTCGGCCCGCCAGTAGAGTGCGGCGGCGTACGTGGTGGCGCTGGCGTCCACGAAGATGTGCAGCTGAAGTGAAGTGGCTTCGCTGTATCCTATGTAGGCTCGTGGTACTTTGACGCCTCGTAGGTCCTTCATGTGTTGTAGCCAGGTCGTCCACTGCTCTGCGAGGTCGGTGTCGATTTTCTTGTCCCATTCTGTGCCGCGTCGCCAAATTTCTTGTATGATCTGCTTTCCCCTGACTGTGACTGGTGATGCAAGTCCCATTGGATCGTAGATTGACATCACAATCTTCAAAACTTCTCTCTTCGTGGGTGCCTTGTTTGCAAGTAGGTCCGATGGGATGCGCGCCAACTCGAGATTGAACCCCAATTCGTCCGATTGCGGGTTCTACATGAGTC